CTGTGGCCACAGTTTATCCAATCTCTTATGTTCGGGATCAGCATTTTCGTCCACTGTGCCATATCCTACGTGTTGTTCCATTCTTCTTGCCATCTTTCAATTGACCTTTCCCTTTCCTGTCTTCTCTTGGCCACAGTAAGGTTTGGACCTCTTCTCTCATAAAGCTCTTTTCTTTCCACGTCTTCTTTCGCTCCAGACTGGTTCCGCGTAAAGGACGATCGACTGTACAACACCGTGTAAGACCCTCATCCTTTCGGATTTGGGTCCTCCAAATTACCCTCTCCAACGCAGCTGCACTACTCGCAGCCTTCCAGACCACCTCCCGCAAGTGTTCCCCCCATTTTCCATTCTGGTGCAGTATCACTCCTAGATACTTTACTTGTTTCTTGGGTGTTAGACATATTCCCGCACATTTTAATTCAATACTTTGCCTGTTCCTTGTCCCCTTCAGAATGATGGCTTCGGTTTTCTCTGTCGCAAGTTTTAGTCCATACTGCATCATCCATTTCTTTATGATGCCGCCTGCGTGTCGAACCCGGTATTTAAGATCTGGCTCATCCCGGGTCACTACCAGTACAGCGAGGTCATCCGCGAGGGGGTTGTACCCTCTCCGTAATATCTTGAATACTAACAATCTTCAACGAACTGGTATCCAGCAAAACAACCTACTATTAAAGAGTAGCTTAACAAGTACAGCGGCAATAGTAAATATTTTCGTGAATAAACCACGCATAACTAGAATATTTTGAATTTCATGCACAACTAAATGGATAGGAAACAACTAAACTACCACAGCTCGTGAACTATTTGTAATCCTTTAATATATCTTTTAACAAATAACCCACATAATTTGGAACGGCACATTACTTTTTTATTATCCAATAATCTGCACGGATGGCCATGATAAAAGCCGGAATACTCTTACCAATGATATCTCGATATATACAACAAGCAAATAACTTGAACGCCGACCAGCAAAAAATGGCAAAATACTTTAGCAATGACCCTGATCTGTCAATACACAGAACTAAATATATATTCATTAGTGAAACCTTCAACAGGCCTAATAGATAAGCAACTAATAATGGAGAACCAATAATATAGACCTTTAAAATAATTTAAAAATTAATCCTTTTAATATGTACCAATGGCTTAGCCCTAGGTAAAATAATTACAGCTTATTACATTCTTCTCGCTATAATCTGTAATCTGAATTCATAGGGAATATTTTAAGGCTCTGCAAATGTTGTATTGCTTGACCCGTCGTTCGCCAGACGTGCCTGAAAGAAGCGAGAACTATCCAAATCACCGGTTGGCTGAATTCAGTTATAGTTGCTTCTGGGTGAACGTAGTGTTTTACCTTACCTTACTACTAAAATCCATCGTAGTATAGACCTCCACGTTGGTAGTGATGGGAATCCATATTGGTTGGATCAGAAATACAAGCATTTTTAAGAACGCGTACTCCGATTCAGCGAATAGTGATTGGTGGACCAATGGAAAGATTCGAACGTAGCTTTGAGCTTCGAATCGGTTTGTAAATGCCCCTTTGTTCGCTTCTTGTCGATCGACAATGATAGGTATAATAAAAGGTTGAAGTTGTGGAGTAAAAGTGTTGATTTATTGACAGCTACTGGTAATTACACAATATGATATTCGTTAGGTAACTATTTATGATTGACTGTGTTCAAATGAGCTTAAATCCCCAATTTATAATCTCACAAATAGTTCATACCTTAGCACAGAGCTTATTGCTTTCTATCATATCATACTAACAAACTTTGCTTACAATACAATTTAATCTACGCCTTCATTGCGACACTTACGAAGTTTAATTAGAAAATATATTATTAGGCAATTTATTTAGTTGTAGGTAAATGAACTAATATTAAAATATTATACGATATGGTTTTACAATGTCACTTATACACGGTAAAACTATAAAAGATTAAGAAGTTAAGAATAATGTGAGATTACAAATTAAGGGGTTAATTTGTGATTGAACACCCTTTCAGTTTCCGGGGAGCTTAGGTTTTAGAATTAGTGTAAATCCCAAATTATCCAAGCGTTGAGTAGGTTATTGACTTTCTATTCATCTAGCTAATTCCAAACCATCGAACAAGATGGTCATCTAAGTCTGTGGTACTAACTTCGCCATGCAAGCCGGTATGAACACACATACGAAGGATACGCTGCCAAGGACAATGACAAGATGATGACAACTTCTGCGGCATATGTGAGCGTACATTCAAGTCTAACTTGGCGTAGATTAACTCATGCTCCACTACGCCACGCTCATCCCGACGCGTACAATGGGGAGCTCGAGCGGTAGTACAAGAATCCCGGTAGGCTGGATCCTCTGGCTACGAGGGCCAATTTATCCTTCAGTATTTGATGGAAGTATTTTGGGACAATACAAAGGAAGTAATTCGGCGTACCCGGGCGAAGCCCGAATACAAGAAAATCCTCAAAAGTCTTAGGTATGAAGGGCGATGACGGAATTGATTTCGGAGTCCCCTTTCTCGACATTTTAATCCCAAGACTTTCGCCAAATATGTCTCCTCGAAGGTAAAAATCTCGCCGGTGAGAGCATTGGGTCAGGGAAAGTAGGATACCCTCTCGTCCCGTGTGCTTAACAATGCGGGTTAGCACGAAGAACATGCGTTCGCTGATGTGCTGATGTGACTGTGTGGTGATTGCCTCTTCATCATCACAGTCATTAACATCTTAGTAGATGTGTTGTGGTTCATAATTGGGCTTCAGCAGCTCGGACAGTTTGATTGATAATATTTCTCCACTGTTCGCGGTCATCAGTTATATGTATTGCCTCAGTATACTGTTTATTGAGAAGCTTTTTAGTAATGTCCGCCCATCGCTGTGGAGATTTTCCGCGTTGGCGTTGAGTCTGAGGCCTTCCTTGGACCACCAACCGCTCCATTTTGTGATCACTTCGATGGATATGGCCAAAGAACTTTAAAATTCTAGAGTAAACGGTACTGGAGAGACGTTGATCCGGTTTAATTTCATCCAGAACCGAGATATTTGTACGGCGAGCCGTCCATGGAATTCGAAGCAGGCGTCTCCATGTCCACATTTCAAAGGCGTCTATACGTCGTCGATCTGATTCTTTGACTGTCCATGTCTCGCATGCATAGTAAAATATGGAAAAGACCAGAGTTGAAACGAGTCTCTTTTTGTTTGTCATAGTAATGTGACGATCACGCCAGACCCCGTTTAGTCCACTCATTGCTGCTCTTGCTAGTTGAATGCGTCTTCTAATTTCGAAATCACAACTGCCTGTGTTGTTAACTAGAGCTCCAAGATATATCATAGATGAGACTACCTCGCATCCCGCAATAGTTTGGGTTTCAGTAAACTGTTGTTGGCGATCAATAACCATGATTTTGGATTTGTTGTAGTTAACCATAAGTCTAAATTTAGCACTTTCTACCTCGAGTTTTTTTAATAATCTAGTAATTTCTTCTGGAGTAGAGGCTAGAAGTGTAGTGTCGTCTGCGAAACGCAAGTTAGATATCTTAGATTGCCTCTTAGGAAGAGATGATTTTTAGATATACTCAAACCACGAATACTAAGCGAAGTCGTGAGAGCGTCACATTACTAGTAAATGAGTATATCGCCGCGGAGTTTATCTCTGTGAGTGCTGGAAAGCGAAGGAAGAACTACAGCGAAAAAGTCAAAAGCTTCAATAAACGCCCCAGTTTTTGATAAAATGCGTCATAAAAGGGCTGAAAAAGATCGTTTGATCCAAACTCGATACCATAACAATAGATCCGCTCTGGCTTGTGCAATAATAGATGACAAGCCTCTCTGGGGTATCGATGTGCAGCCTGGCATTAAAACGATGTAGAGGGAATCTTGAGCAATTTTTTTATCAAGATCGCGAACAGACGATGAACGGAGTCCTGATCAGAAAAAACGGCTAATGATCAGTAACGCTGTAAGAGGAGTGGTAATCCTAGATGCCTTAAAACTTTGAAGTCTCAAGCAACCGGTCCTGATTTTATTAAGATAAAGGAGCTGCGTAAGGTACCCGGTTAGAAATGGGTTCTTGTCTATAATATCATGCTCCAATTTGGTGTTACTCTTATGGTGTTAAAGGATTACAGGATCACTTTGATACCAAAGGAGACTCCTTATCTACCTACCTTTTTAATATGGTCGTCGATGATCTGATACGAATTCGACGAGAAGACAGGGGTGTAGATAAACGCTGGTAAGAGTGCAGTTATTACGGTTAATGTTAACCGTGGTAATAAGCAGTCTTACTGCGTAACGCGTTCTCTTTTTTTTCTGTCGGCAACGACATGATTGGACAGTTGCAACCGAGTGAGCTGGTTGAATACCTAGGTCGAAGGTATAATACAATCGGGTAGACCAAGGTAGCCTTTACCGAGCTACAGTCCGAGCTTGATCGAATTCAACTAGCAAGGTTAAAACCAGCACAAAGACTGTTTGTCTTAAAGACTTATCTACTCACGAGATATGTTGATAAGCTCCAGAGAACTAAAGAGGACAAAACAGAATAGAGGGCAACGAATTCACCGACATTAAGATTCTATGGGGAATAATGTAAAAACTCTGTACTCTTAAACTTCCTCACACTGCTCCCAATAAACGTGAAAAACTCGCAAAGCACGTTATCTAGAAGCATATGAAATAGAAGAATGTAATAATTCTGGTGGGAATTTTTGATTTTAATAGATTGTATATTTTGTGGTTATAAATGTTGGTTTGATTGGAAATAAAATGATAAATAAAATACGTCTGTTTTATCTGTTTTAGCTGCTTCTTACAGATTAGTCTGTTTCTTGCACTGATATAATAAAGAAATATAACCATAGCTAATATAAAACATGGTAAATTAAATGAATTTTGTACAACTTATATTTACCTCTTACATATCTAAAAACGGCTGTCAAAATATCTCACATCTATTGTATATTACAAACCTTAATTTTTATTTTCGTTCATATTTTTACCTTTCAAAAAAATATCTTCCATCTCTTTGGAAAGTCCTTCATCTGGCTCATCATCTATATCGTCTCTAAACTGTCGTTTATGCTCTCGAAGTCTTGGTTCGCATCCATAAGCATATACCGATATAAATCCAGGCTCTACGAAATGGGAGTTGGTTCTTACGTTGAACTGCCCCTTTTCTCTTCTTATTGGCTCTGTATGAAATCTGAAAATTACGTAAAAAATATACGAGCCCTTGTTTATTATTTAATATTTTTGTGTAAAGGTTACATAACACGTTCAGTGCGGATATTTTGAATTTAAGACATGACATGGCGAATCACTTTTGCTCACAGCCTAAATTCAATTTGAAATGAGTAGTATCAATTGTTTCAAGATTTTTTCAACATTTTTATATGAAATCTGATAGCATTTATCCAATACCTTTTTTAAACAGTGTTTTTTTTGTTTACAGTTTTAGAGTTTTATAATTTCGTACTCTTAACACTCGTAAGTGGTCACGTGGTCCATAAATCATGCTCTGAAAATGTTTCTTGATATTTCTCCATAAATATATCTTTACAATGAAATATTAAGAACAGATAATACTATACTATACATAATACACTATACATAATAGAAAGAAGTACTAGAAACAAAATAAAGATATGAGAAATATACACATAAAAAATAAGCGAAGTGACTGGAATAGGTCGAAATAGACAGCAAGGACACATAAAAAACAAAAAAGGAGTACTACTAATAGATTTACCATAGAAATTAAGACGATGGAAAAAGTACGTTAGACAACTTTTCCAAGATGAAAGAGGTGAAATGCAGAAAATACAAGAACTAAATCCTTTAGAGAGACAGATCATGATTGATTAAATCAAATATGCTATCAAAAACTCTAAAGACAATAAGGCAGCTTGATCAGATGAAATACCAGTAGAACTGGTAAAATTAATGGAAGAGGATAACCTGGAAGTATTGGCTGATTTATTCAACAGGGTATACGATACGGGAATAATATCACAAGAGTGGCTGAAGTCAGCATTTATAATTATCATAAGTCATACTTTCAAAGTACTGCTAAAAGTAATACATAAGAGAATATAAGAAATGCTAAAGGAGGATATTAGCGAGACGCGTTCGGGTTCCGAAATGGAATGGGTACCCGAGAAGGACTATTTGGCATCAACATATAGATTCATCGATGTCAAGATGTATCTACACTTATGCGTCAACGTTGATCTACACTTCTTGCTACACGATCTATGCTTCGTTGACTACGAAAAAGCTTTCGATAAAGTAAGACATGAAAAACTAATATCAATACTTATGAACAAGCGCATTGACAGTAAAATCATAAATATAGTGCTAACATTATATTGGAACCGAAGTGCCATAGTTCAAATTAATGGGCAAAACTCAGAAGAAATGAGGATTTGTAGAGGAGTTAGACAGGGATGTGCTTTATCACCACTTTTGTTTAACTTATATTCTGAAGAAATTTTCCAAAACACACTCAATAATATCGAAGCGGGAGTCACCGTTAACAGAAAAATAATTTACAACTTCCGATATGCAGACGACACTGTGATCATAGCAACGAGTATAGAGGATCTACAACATCTTATCCAAAGCCTGAGTATGAATAGTGCTAAAATGGGAATTACTATAAACGCTAAAAAACGAAGTACATGCTAATTACAAAAAGACCACAAAATATACATCACCTATTGACAATCAATGGTAACGAGATAGAACAAGTAAAAGTATATCAGTACTTGTGAACTTTGATCAATGAAACTAATGATTATACTGTAGAAATAAACAGGCAAATAGAGATTGCCAGATCAGCATTTATACGAATGAAGCCACTTCTAACGTGCAAAAATCTAAATTTGGAGATCAGACTATGTACCATTCTCTGTTATATATTTTCAATATTATTATATGGAGCTGAGACTTGGACATTAAAAAAATGCAATTTAAAAAGGGTCAAGGCTTTCGAACTCTAGGGTTACTGCAGAGTATTAAAAATATCATATACTGATAGAATTACAAATAAAGAAGTACTGGAGAGGGTTGGTAATAAACAGAACTAATCACCATTATACAAACCAGAAATACTGGAATACCTAGGCCACGTGATGAGGAGAGCATAATATGAAATTTTGAGACTCATAATATAGGGAAAGATTCAAGGAAGATGATCTGTTGGCCGAAGGCAGAACTTACAGTTGAAGAATCTATGTGATTGGTGTCAATGCAGATCGATTGATTTGTTTAGAGCAGCAAGTTCAAAAATAAAAATAGCCATTATGATTGCCAACCTTCATAGGAAGACGGCACTCTAAGAAGAATAAAAAATCAACCCAAATATAAGTTATTAAAATGAATTCACTAGATGAAAAACAAAAAATTGTATGGGAAAAATGACTTAAATGCTTTTTAATAGTTTTAGATTAGAAGTTAAAAGTATTAACAGTTAAAATTATCAAAACTCTCACTATATGTAATTCTATTTCTTTTGTACTTACCCTATTCCTGCTTTTCGTAACCTTAATATCATATTACAAGAATCTTCGGGTAGAGGAGCTATAGGTTCTCTTTGTAGTTCACCTTCGTTAAACAAATTAACTTTGCCCATTATTGTGAGATCATTAAACAAGAGTCTTGTCTCTAGACTAGAATTTCTCGGGTTGAATCTGCAACGTTCAACCCTTACCTAAAGAAAAGAAGATTTTATATAACTACATTATTGACTAGATACGTATATTTTAGTAACAAAAAATATTTAAATAAATGGAAAAAAGGTAGTTTTCCAGTTAAATGCTACGTTTACCATTGCTGGTACAATATTTAGTGTTATATATGATTATAGTTTTCGGTATCTAGGCGCATCCCTATTTTGTTTTTTGTTACATAGTGAAGATTGTTGAAAATTCCTTATTTATAAACGATAAAGGATAATCATTTTTTAATAAAACAGATGTTAACAAATGTTTCTCCTCCAAGAACGAATTTTCGTTAGAACAAGTAATTTTGGCTCTATCGTATAAGTATTTAATTATTCCATTTTTAACATTAATATTGTGATTTGATTTGAAATTGGCTCTAGTTTATCTCCATTCTTAGCCGATATATTATAATGTCTAATGCCTAATAATTATAATGTTATGAATATATTTAAGTGCACCATCTAAATAGGCAACCAAATATACACTGGAAGTGAGTTTGGGTTATTATGACATGTAAAAAAGAGTAAATTTGAACATAAAGTAGACATTTAAAATGATAATTACAGATTTAAAATAGTGTTATTTATTAATTTAAGATGTTTAATTTTCATATAAGTTTACATTCTGGTCTGAAAAGCCTAAATGTCCATAAAATTCTCCATAGAAAAGTTAAGAATAACCTAGTTCAATTGAAATAAGACGTCAATAGAAGGAAGTTAACCTTATTTGCGTGGTAGAACATTCGAGAACATTCAAATATCTATGAAATAGAACAATTCGAATATGATTTCTTTCAAGAATATTCTTGAACACAGGAAATGATATAAATACTCGATGATTTTGAGGAAATGATGATTAGTTAATTAGTTCATTATTAGTAAGTCAGTCGTCGGTCAGTAAATAGTACAAGCAGTTCATTAGTTAGTATACAGAGGACAGTATGCAAGACAGTAGTCAGTAATCAGTGATTTAGTATGAAAATTTTTTAATATTTTGTTGGAGTTTAAAAATTATATTATGTATATGGAGATTAGAAGAAATTAAAATTATAATATTTATATGGTGATTGGAGATTGGAAGAAGAAAAAATAAGATTATTAGAAAGAAGAATAAACAAGAAAACAATAAATAAAGAAGAATAGTTTGAGGATTTATAAATGCTATTGAGAAGAAAAATATTTTTAAACGGTGGAAGCTGATAAATAAAACATTGAGCTGTATTTGGAGAAGCAATTTCACAAAAAAAGAAGGATAACCGAGGCTGATACCGAAGATATTGAGTGGTGATTAAACCCTTTATTTTGGAAAACAGTTTCAATTAGGCATTCAGTAACAGCATGGCTTAAAAATACAAATTCGTTAAACTTCTCGTACTTGAATCGGTATCAGTAGAGTGTTATGACGTCATTTCAGCATTCTTGCTTTGTTAGAAACTCGGGATAATACAAATTTAAAGAAACTCCAACGAATATCTCCTAAATGTTATCACTGCAGTGGTTAGAGTACAGAGGTGCCATCTACTTTGGTGGCCATAAACGAAAGCGATTTAATATTATCGGTTTTTTTGTCCTTTGGGCTATACGGAATATGCAAAGATTAAATCTTTTAACAAAATTTGCTATCTGTTTAATAAATTGAACATAATATTAGTCGTATAATATCCAAGCTGCAGCAAAGCGTGGCCGGGTCAGCTAGTATATATATATATATATATATATATATATATATAATATATATATATATATATATATATATATATATATATATATATATATATATGTACACTTGGAGCCACTATCAACAGGGATAACATTCCGTTCGAGTTCAGGGTCTGCCTACTAGATACTGGTACGTCACGAGTGAGGGGAGTCAGATCTTGTTTTCAAGAAAATGAAACTCCTTAAACAACAGAAAATGTGTCATATCAAAAAGTAGTTTGCACTATTAGAGACATAATTATTAATCCTTAATAGTTATTAAACTTAACAAATTTTATTTATATTTAATTTGGTATTCAAACATTTCGATTAGAAAATTAATTTTTCCGCAAATCGCCAGGAAATTTTGACATTCCTGTCAAAATTTCTTGAAGAAAAAGTCAGGACTTCCTTACTGTAAGGAAATGATATTTCCGATAGTGATAACCAGCAATCTGAAGACAGAAACCATCAAACAAATTAAGGAAGAAATTATTACTCCTTTAACTTTTCTCATTAATGCATGTTTTCAGGATGGTTGTTTTCCAGAATGTCTAAAAATAGGCAAAATCAAACCTCTGTTTAAAAAAGGAAATAAAGAAGACGTGATTAATTACAGACCAGTATCTTTGTTGTCTGTTTTTTCCAAAATATTTGAAAAAATTTTAAAAAATAGATTAGTGAGTTTTTTGGATAGGTTTAGTATAATATCGGATTGTCAATACGGTTTTAGAGAAAGAAAATCTACACAAGATGCTATTTGTAAACTAACATCACAAATATCAGAAGCTTTTGAGTCTAATAAACGTAGTTTATGCATATTTGTTGATCTCTCTAAGGCGTTTGACACGATATCTCACGGGATCTTGTTAGAGAAACTTGAGAAGTATGGTCTGAGAGGACGCGTTTTGACATTACTAAAAAGTTACTTAACAGACAGAAATCAATTTGTAGAAATTGATGGTGTCGAAAGTGATCCTGAAGTAATTAATTATGGCGTACCGCAAGGGACCATTTTAGGCCCTCTACTCTTTACACTCTATGTTAATGACATGCTTAAACTAAAAACTGATGGAAACATAATAAGCTTTGCTGATGACACCGCAATTTTTTATAAGGCCGAAAATTGGGAAGATCTTAAGACTATAGTTGAACAAGATTTCAAAGTTATAAAAACATGGTTGCAAATAAATAAACTCACAATAAATTACGAAAAAACTAAATATATACCTTTTGCAATATATAAAAATTCTCTTCCAACTTTTAACTCATTAAAAATAAATAAAAAACAACAAATATTTAAAGCAGAATACATAAAATATTTAGGAGTTTTAATTGACAGGCACCTTAAATGGGACTTACAAATAAAAAATATTATAAGAAAAATAAGAGGACTGTTACCAAAATTTGGCTATTTGAAAGAGTTTTTAGATGTTGAACAGCTTAAAATGCTTTACCTGTCTTTAGTACAATCTCATCTTGTATATGGGATTTTAGGATGGGGTGGCGTAGCTGATTGCCATCTGGTGACCCTTCAAAATACTCAGAAATGGTTTCTTAAACTAATATATGGAAAACGAAAAACATATCCCTCAGACCAACTTTTTCATGAAACTCAGGTTCTTGATGTTCGGCAATTGTACTGCTTAGAGCTACTTAAAAATATTCATAAAGATAAAATACCTCTTAAAGTAAAAGTGTCAAATTATGAAACAAGAAGAAAATTGAATGTTGAATGTCTTCATACTTCAAAAACAATCACGCAACGGTCAATTAAATATTTTACTCCAAGAATATACAATCAATTGCCCATAAATTTTAAAAATATCAAAAATTTTTATTTGTATAAAAAATTAGTTAATGCTTGGGTAAAAGAAAAAAGGGAATTGTGTAACAATTTAATAAATTTAAATTATACTAGATAAAAAAAAACGAAACAAATTAGATTAGAAACTGTAAAAATGAAATATTCATTTGTAAAAAAAAACATTAAACCTGTTAATATTAGACAGCTTAAGTAAACAAGCATGTTAATGCTTTAAAGACTTTTTTTACGTTTATGTTACTGTAAGTAAACTGAAATTGAAATTGTAAATTAATGTAATACTTATGGATTTGAATAAACGTATATTATTATTAATTAAATTTATAAGCGTCAAGTTTGACAATTCAACCTCAATACGTTTCCATAGTAACCCAAGTAATTTTATTAGGAATTTCAAAGCACCATTTATTTGGGAATAAAATTATCACGTTTTTTTTTTAAATCAATCAATATCTGTCGAATTTTAAACGATTTGCGGAAAAATAGTATGTTTACCTCGTAGGAAAAGCCACATTCCTGGACTCTGTGTTGCTAAGTCTCGGCTTGCGCCTCGACTTAGCAATCTTCTCAGTCGTCCAGGAATGTTAAGCTTTTCCTACCCGGTAAACAATGTACTATTTCCAATTTCAAGTTAAACGAAAATAAATTTCTTCATCATTCAGAAGGTTAATACATTGTTAACATTCTTACCCAACCTCCAGAAGGCGGCAACTTTATCTTCATATTCGTTACGTACATATCCAAAGGAGCAGTTCTCAATTGCTGATGAAGAGAGTAACCATTAAGAGGAAGAGTTTTCTGTCTTGAGATTTGGCGTCTTCGCACATGATCGAGAGCAGTTTCTAGCCTTTCTGAACATCGAAAGTTATACCTATCTCTTTCTTCTTGGTAAATGTTATTTACATTAGAGCCCTCTTCTACATAGGGATAGGCGTCATTGGAATATTTATCATTTGGACGCGATGGTTTCTCTGCTGGAGTCAAAATTTGCTTATTAATAAAAGTAGCGAAAAAGTATGGATAAAAAAGGATTAGTTGACAACATATAAAAAAATGTAATGAAATAAATAAATAGAATGAGTTTTAAAGCTGAAATAAAAAATAATTAACTAATATTGGAGATAATCTTCATTAATAGAGAAAAAAAGAACTTAATTGTACAATATACTTTTATAAATATTATTCACAGTATTGTACAATATATTCAATATTTTGAAAATATCATGAATTTGTTGCTTGTGTGAGTCCATTTCAAATAGGTAAAGAAATAATAAATCAGACTTACTCACAATCAATTTAATTTAACTATCCGACGACCGGTTTCGCTTTCTACAATATGCAAAGCATCTTCAGGTCTCGGTACAAAGTTAAACAAATGCTGAAATGATAAAAACCCATATTAGGGTGTTGTCTAATAAAGATAAAACATTAGATGTTATAAATTACAATAATTATGCCAATATTACCTGTCTGTGGTTTTATTTAAATGATTGAGTTGAAAAAGGTATAAATATTTTTAAAAAAGTTAAAAGGACAAGGTAAGGCCCACAAGTTGTCATAAAATCTCTTCTATTGGAATAAATTAATGAATGAGCAAATAAATAAATGAAATAAAATAAAATTACTTACATGCCGGTACTCTATTAATAGATGGATGGTAGAACATGTTTAAAACTACTGTATATTGTTGAATGGAGAACTCAATACTATTATTGCAGTTGTTTGACAGTAAACGGGGAGTTCTTGAGGAAAACAACTGCAATAATAGTATTGAGTTCTCCATTCAACAATATACAGTAGTTTTAAACATGTTCTACCATCCATCTATTAATAGAGTACCGGCATGTAAGTAATTTTATTTTATTTCATTTATTTATTTGCTCATTCATTAATTTATTCCAATAGAAGAGATTTTATGACAACTTGTGGGCCTTACCTTGTCCTTTTAACTTTTTTAAAAATATTTATACCTTTTTCAACTCAATCATTTAAATAAAACCACAGACAGGTAATATTGGCATAATTATTGTAATTTATAACATCTAATGTTTTATCTTTATTAGACAACACCCTAATATGGGTTTTTATCATTTCAGCATTTGTTTAACTTTGTACCGAGACCTGAAGATGCTTTGCATATTGTAGAAAGTGAAACCGGTCGTCGGATAGTTAAATTAAATTGATTGTGAGTAAGTCTGATTTATTATTTCTTTACCTATTTTGAAAATAATTTATTGTTGTGGAATTGTCAGAGTTACCGAAGCTGCTAAAATTCGCGTAACCATATCCCCCTCCTTATTATTTGAAGACTTGTCAGGGCGTGGTAACAGTCTAAATATCGTTAGCTGCTGCCTCCACTGACTGCGATTCTGTGCCAGATTGAATGTAAGTAATTTTCTATTTAAGTCTTCATTTGGTCTGCCCATCTTGTTGGAGATATTTTTCTTGGTCTTCTACCCTTTCTTCTACTACCAATAGTTCCATGGTCCCCGATTTTATGGCTATGTGGTTAAAGTAATTTAGGTACGCTCAGTAAATTTTTTTAATAGCCTCTCTTTTATTCACATTTTGAAAGCTTTTATCTTTATTCTATCTATTTTTTAAGAGTCGATATTTCAGTTGCGTATATAGTAATTGGAAAAATAAGGTTATTGGTCAACCTAAGCTTAGTCTTTATTGTTATTGTTTGGTATTTTGATATTTTAATAAATTTAGTTGTTGTGGTTCGCGCCACTGCTGGTCTATGTTTGATTTCTAAGAAGATGTCGCCATTGTTGGTTATCATGAAGTAAGTATATAAATCTGTCCACTACTTCGAAATTCGTTACTTGGCGTATGTGGGTAGATGATTATTGTTCTAAAGCTATTTTCTTATGGCATCTAGTAAATAATTACTATTTTAATATGAATAAGCCACAATTGAAGTTTAAAATAAGCTTATTGACATTTTAGTTTCCACTTCGGAAATCGTTATTAAAATACAAACATTATTAAATTAAACAAATTTGGTTTTTTGTTACTTGGTGAAAAACTCTTTTAATAATTTAATTTTTTCTGACTCATTTATATTGACACTTCATACATATTTTATTCAGTGGCGGCGCAAGATCATATTTTTATATGTGCGAGATATATTTTGCGAGTCTCTCTTTGCTCGCGCATAAAGACAGACTTTTTAAAATAAAAACATGTGTCATTTTATTATTAAACTTTTATTCATGCAAATCTAGTCAAACTTACAACTAACCTAAAAATATTTAAGATATTAAGAACGTGGAATACTAGGGTATATTTTATTTTGGGGGGATTTTGGGGGGACGTGCAGCGAAAATTATTCGCTAGCGATAGGAACGCAATTTGAGGCCAGCAGTGACGTGTATTGTTGCGGGAATTCCTAGCGAGCGACAGTGAAGTTTCTCTCTAATTTTTCGGAGCGTTCATGGCTTAGTTCGGCACCTCTTGGACCGCGAAGCCGTGGGCTGTGGCCCACGTCGCCCACGCCCTACGCCGTCTCTGTATATTATACATTTTCAAGAAGATAACTTTAAAATGATATTGTTAATATTGAGTTGCATTTCTGGGACGACTTTATTGTAAGATAGTTAGGTGATTCGTCTTTAAAAGACAACCACATGCCATGATGACAATAAAATTGTCCTGTTAGTGATTCCATAGTAAATCATAAGGAAAAAAAGTTCATAATAATGAACTAAAATACTTTATCATCAACAATATTATTGATATTATCCTATTGCCGAGGCACACTTCACGAAGAAAACTAATTTAAATTAAATAAATCTAGCAGCTACTTTACTAATTATCCAGGCAAAAATGTTCGTCGAGGAACTACTGGTATTGTGAAAAACAGCTTGAAGCATTCTGAACTACAGAGCTATCAAAAGAATCACATATAGGCTACAAGTATTACAGTGGAAGATAAATCATGAACAAAAAACTTATTAGCTATTTACAGTTCACCCAAATTTAACATTAAGAAGCAACAATATGAACATTTTCTCGAAACACTAGGTAATAGATTTGTACCAGGTGACTATATGTAATGCAAAAAATACAATCTGAAGCTCATCACTAACAGCAACAAAAGAATGCAAGTTACTAACAGCGATCACAAGAAACAACGTAAAATTTACATCTACCGGAGAGCCTACATATTAACCTACAAACCCTAATAAAATGACAGACCTTCTAGACTTCTACATATCAAAAGGTATTACCACTAAGCTATTCAAAGTTGAATCGAACCTAGATATGACATCTGAACGTAGTCCAGTTATCTTAACTATGTATATGAATATAAAAAAAACAATGCCACCAAGATTGTAATCATAACATCAGATGGGAAGAATTGCAGGATATAATTAACATCGGAACAAATGTACAGGTATCATTAAAAGCACCAAATTAGTTGGAAAATACTCTGAGGGAATTCACAAAAAATACATAAAATGTGCGTGGTTAGCTACGCCACAAAATAGTTCATCACATAATAAAGAACATTGTCTAGTAATAGTCAGACAAAAAATCGCATAAAAAAAGGAAACGAAAAAAATCTACTCAGTAGGGGTACGAGTTGTATTGCAGATATTCAATGCTATTCTAAGACTTAAGTATTTTTCATAACAATGGAAAGTAGCGGAAGTCATAATGGTGCCGAAGATACGGAAGAAACTTGAATAAATTGCATTATATAGGCTATTATATAGTCTATTGCTAATTCTATCCAAAATAGTTTAGAAATTGTTGTTAAAAAGACTTCAATCCATCCTGGGTATAAGTCAGGCTTTTGATAAGAGCTGACACATGGACCTACTTTATAAAATCGATAAGCATCTACCGCATAGCCTTGATCGTATGTTGGAATCTTATCTGACTAACAGGCGCTTTCTAGTGAGGCACCAAAAGAAATGCACATATTTGTATTCAATTGAATCGTATGTACCCCAAGGCAGTGTTCGTGGACCTGTGCTTTACCTAATATACACTATCGACTTCTCAGAAATACTCTTAACTACAGATTACAGTACGAAGGCTGCATTCGTAGATATTACTACAATTTTAGCATAACATCAAAATGCAGACACGGCTTTGAAAAACCTATAAAATTGTCTCAACAACACAAGCGATATTTGAGATTACACCTTGTTTCAACGTTAGAAGTATGAAAATAAAAGATATAATGTGCAAACAATAACTTTATTATTGAACTTACAAAAACTGCTATTGCATTATTTGGAAGACGCATTATAAAAACAATATGTACTACGATCAGTGTATAAAATATTTATGAATGGAATTAACGCAAGAAAAATGTTATAAAAAGGGAAATCATCAATTAAAAAATTATTTTCTTTATTTTTCAGTATTTGATAGTATCACCCCTACTCCTAATTTTACTTTCCAATCGATTTCGCATGGATCGGATCACTTTTCTAGTAAATTCTTGGAATTGCTTCTCATTTATTATTAAGCGCAGTTCTTAATCTCATTATACTTCTTGGTGCATGATTTTTGTCCCGGACCCTTCACTTAAGCTTATCCAAAACATACTCAATTGAATTTATGTCTGGGATCAACGCAGGCCAATTTATTGTAGGTATACCGATCTTAGTCAGATAGGTAGTGGTGACTCGTGCGGTATGGCAGCGTGCATTAAAATAAAGGCATCACCAATAAATCCGCGTATGGAACCACATGTTTCTTCAAAACATCTTTGATGTAACGATCCACCGTTAAACCTCGGTTTATCGGGGATTTTGATACAAGAACTCGATCATCTATCTTAGTTGTTATTTGTTTACGGCCTCATCCTTGTCAGCGGACAATATCACCAGTATCATGGTACCGACGATATACTCGGGATACAGTTTGGCTTAAATTTAGTCTATTTACCGCGGCCTTCTGGCTCAAGATTTCTCTCAATAATGTTGCTGCTTAAGCTGCTTTAACAGATGTGGTATCCATTT